CATGGCCGCGATCTTGATGAACTTCTTGAGCAGCTGCACGCGCTTGCCCTGGGCCTCGCAGAGCAGCACCTCCGTGGCCACCCAGTGGGTGACCTCGCTGCAGCGCTGCAGGAGCAGCTCCAGGTTGGCCGTCTCCCGCCGGCCGCGCTCCCCGTGGAACACGTAGTCCACGAACTCCAGCTGCACCCACGGTGGTGGCAGAGGGCGCGGGGCGTGTGGGTGGGAAGATGGCAGTGCCAGACGGTGAGGAAGGAAAGGCAGGAGGGTTGGGGCGGGAGGGGGAGAAAATAGAAAAATTGGGGACAGCACAGGATGCAACAGAGATGGGGGGGAAACAGCCAACATGAATAACACTCTACCATCTATTGAGCACTTACTAGGTGCCAGGCATACTTAACCCATGTAACAGACATTATTATCGCTGCCTTGTTTTATTTCTTTAATAGTAAGTACTCAAAAAGTACTAATAAACCACAGTTCAGGTTCTGGGTAAGCAGCTTGGGCCCTGAGCCACCTGCTAGGGGGTGTGTCTCTTTGCTGCTTCCTCAGATGAGGGGGACAAAGGCTTAGCGAGGTCCTGGTGGTGCACTGCCCCAAGGACATGCAGCAAGCCGGTGTCCGACCAGGCTTTTTGGCGCAGAAACTGTCTCGCTCCAGGCCCCTACATTTGGCACATTCCTCCCTCCTGGCCCCTGGCCCAGCACCAGCCTCAGTCGCACCTCGTGCACACAGCGGAACAGCTCCCAGTGGAAGGCCGTAAGGTGGTTGGCAACATCCTCAGGCTCCACTCGGTGGATCTCGGTGTCTCCAGGGGAGACCTGGATTTCCTCGGGGAGGGGCACCTGGTGGCAGGCAGGGGACAGGGCTGGGCAGGTCTGTCTGTGCCTGTCTCAGGGCTCATTCCTTGAGTTTCTGCTCCAGCCCCTCCCAGCCATCGCTCCCGGCCCAGGCCTTGTGAAGGCCTTCTTACCAGCGCCTCGTAGCTGTCCCGGGTGCAGGCAAACAGGTGGCTGTTGATGCCCAGCGTGGTGAAGACACAGTCTTCAGTGGGCTGGAGAAGGACTTTCTCTGCAGAAAAACGAGCTGCTTTGCCTCAGGCCGGGCCACCTGCACCCTCACACATCCCAGCCACCGTCGCCATCCCACCCAGCCACTCCTCGCTGCACGGACACATTCTAGACTAACGGGACTTGTAGTATCATCGGTGGAGGCTATATTTTTCTGACATTTTTCAAAGAATGACTTCTTGCCGGAACCGGTTTGGCTCAGTGGATAGAGCGTCGGCCTGGGGACTGAAGGGTCCCAGGTTCAATTCCCGTCAGGGGCATGTACCTGGGTTGCGTGCACTTCCCCAGTTGGGGATGTGCAGGAGGCAGCTGATCGATGTTTCTCTCTCATCGATGTTTCTAACTCTCTATCTCTATCTCTCTCCTTTCCTCTCTGTAAAAAATCAATAAAATATATTAAAAAAAAAAAAAAAGAATGACTTCTTTTTTGCTCCCAATGTCCTATCACAGCGCCTCTCTCATTCTATCGTCCCTGTGACACTGGAAAAGCCGGAATTTTTTCCTGTCTTAGAGGGAAATAAGGCGATGACTACCCTGCAGGCTTTTTGTCTGCCCACAGGGATTGCAGGCGCACCCTCAAAAACAAAGCATCCTCAGGTTCTCAAAGAGATTACAGGACGAGGTCCCAAGACGAGTGAGGCAGGCGCCCAGATCAGCATCCAGGTGTCCGGGACCAGTGCGTCCCAAATGTAAACGTGCACAGACTAATAGCCTGGGGAGCTTGTTAAAATGCACATCTGATTCAGCAGGTCTGGAATTGGGGTCTGAAATACTGCATTTTTAATGAGCTCCCAGGAGATGCTCACGCGGCTGGTCCCAGCACCACAGTGAGCAGCTAGGACCGAGAAGTCAGTTTTTACCCGCCCCAGGCACTGGGCTTGTGGTTTCTCCTCTCGGTGGGGTCCCAGCGGAGTTCTTCCTGACCCTCACCTCCTGAAGAGGCCACAGCTACCAGGATGAGGGAATCCTCCCGCCCCGCAGGCTCCTCCGAGTACTGCAGTTTCTCCGTCACAGAGCCCAGAATGTCCTGCACAGACGCGGAGAGGCGGCTGCGTATGGTCACGTAAGAGTGGTCAGGCATGTAGACACGGCAGAAGACTGGGCAGAGACAGGAAGGTGGTTTTCATCAGAGGGCAGAATGGCAGCACTGGCATAGTCCCCTCCAGGACACCGGTGTTCCCCACTCCATCCCACCCCTAGCCCAGGGAGAATCCATGGAGGGTGACCAAGACCCCACGGGGTCCCCTGAGCCACTCGGGAAGCTCCGCCCCTCCTAATGCCCACACTCACTCTCATCAGAGCCCCGGAAGGCCACTCGGGTCTGCAGGCAGGAGTCTATCCGGCGGAAGTGGCGGAAGAGTGGCTTCACCTGCTTGTTGGGCGGCTGGCTCTCCTCTGGGATCCTGGCATGGACACAGCTGGGCATCAGGACGCCCTGCCAGGCATATGGAGTACCAGGCAGGCAACATCAAGCAGGGATATCAGAACTGGGTCAGGGATGCACTGGCATCAGGTGCAGAGAGTGGTGGGAAGTGTCAGAAGTGAGGACAATGGCCAGCAGGGGACAACTGTCCAAGTGACCCAAATCAAATGCCACCTCGTTCATGAATTCTTGTCTGATCTACCCCACCCACCAGGAAAGGTCATTTTTTCATGCTGCTTTTTTCTTTTTTTTCTTTTTTGCTATAGGACAATGGGCTAACATTTGTTTATGTTTGTATCTTATCTCTTCTACAAGTTTGAGAGCTTTTGAGAGCTGGGATTCGTTCTTACTGGTTTTGTTTTCCATCGTCCAGGCCTAGAACATTGCTTGGCACATGGTAGGTGTAGGTAACCAGCTGTTTGCTGAGTTTTGCCAACAAGAACTTCACACTCTGGGAGGGAAACAGATGTGCACACAGCTACTTCTAACACAAGGCAGGTGCTAGGTGCTATAACAAATATGCACGGAGAGTTACATTGGTTTAAGGGAGGGAGAAAGCTATCCCTAAAAGGGAAGGTCTGGGGAACTTTCATTGAGAAGATGGCATTTGACCTGGCCCTTGAAGGACAACAGGAAGAGAAGGGGGAGGGAGGAGGTCCTTCTGGAATAGACCATCTAAATGACAGCAGGAAGTTGGGAAAGCACAAAAGTTTAGGGGATGAGATGTGTAGGGAGTGTGGTGGCCATAGGGCTATGTAGGAGTTGAGATGAGAAGAATTAGCAGAAGACAGAAAGGGAAGGGTGTTGAATTCTGTGCTAGGATATTGCAACTTTTCTTGTCTTATAGGCAATAGAGAGCCAAGATGTTTTTGGAAAGGGAACATGATGTCAAGTTGGAAAGATCTCTCTCTCTCTCTGGTGTCACTATAAGAAGGGAGAGACAGACACAAGACCATAAGCTGAAGCCCGGCCGGGATTAGCTCAGTGGCTGAACATCCACCCTATGAACCGGGAGGTCACTGTTTGATTCCCGGTCGGGGCACATGCTCAGGTTGCAGGCTTGATCCCCACGGTGGGACATGCAGGAGGCAGCCAATCAATGATTCTCTATCATCATTGATGTTTTTATCTTTTTATCCCTCTCCTCTGAAGCTCTTAAATCAACAAAAATATATTTTTAAAAAACAGACCATTAAAACGAAGCCCGTATTGGAGGCTGTGGCAATAATCCAGGTGAGAGATAATGAGGCCTAAATAAGGGTTGTGGTGGTGGGGATCGAGGGGAGAGACACGGAAAGGGCCAAAGGTATGGATGGATAGATGGACAGATGGATGGGTGGATGGAAGGAGGGATGGACGCAGTGGTGTCCTAAAGCCAGTTCATGAAAGCCTCATGAAAGGAGATTGCTAACTTTTGCCCACTGGCTTTAAAATAAAGCCACGTTAAAAAGTGTGTGAGTCCTGGCGGGGTGGCTCAGTTGGTTAGAGCACTGTCCCAATACGTCAAGATTGCAGGTTTGATCCCCAGTCAGGACACATATAAGAAGCAACCAATGAATGCATAAGTAAGTGGAACAACAAATCAATGTTTCTCTCTCAAAAAAATTTTTTTTTAAATTGCAGTGTGTGTGTGTGTGTGTGTGTTTCTAATCCTACAGCCAAATTATTACCAAAAAAAGTAGTATTCTCATTGTCTTACTACATTTCACTATTATCTATGCTTTTCCGGTGATTTACATCAATGGCATTTGTATGGTGAAAACACTGTACAATGGCCTCTACTGCACACTCTTCCCAGCTTCGCAGTCAGCGATGTCATGTTGGTAGCTTGAAATCAGCCATGATGAGGGAATTTATACTATGAAAATCAGCAAAAGCTACAAAATCAGGGTGGGTTTGTTTTATATTTCCCCTGAAGTGCTGGTTGTTAAATATTCACTAGTATGCCATTGGAATGGGGGGAAAAATATGACTGGAGCCCTGCTGAGTGTGACTCAGTTGGTTGGAGTGTCATCCCATATACCGAAAGGTTGCAGGTTCGATTCCCAGTCAGGGGACATGTCCAGGTTTTGGGTTCCATCCCCGTTGGGGTGCATGCAGGAGGCAATCAATGGATGTTTCTCTCTCACATGGATGTTTCCCCGTTTCCCTCTCTCTCCCTCCCTCCTTCTCTCTTCCTCTCTCTGTGAAGTCAGTAAGAACAGATCCTCCGGTGAGAGGAAAACAATGACTGGGAGACAGTCTTTGTGCTGCTCTCCAGTAAGAGAAAGGGACTGAAATAAGACCACACTGGAGCCAAAAGGCCAGAGGCAGCCCCTGTACGAGAGGAGTGTGGGGATTTCTCTCTTGTCCCCTTCCCCAACCCATTCCCCTCACTTTAGCTCCACGGTTTCCACAAGCTGGTGCAGCCTCAGTGTGTCCTCTCGGAGGTCCTGGTAAAGGGACTCATCCTTCATAATCAGCAGGTACAGATCCTGGGGAGAGGAGAGACGTGAGGACATCGTTCTGTCAGGTCTCCATACCTTTGAGCATAGGAGAACCATAGAAGCGAGGGCCCCCGGGCACCTTCTCCTTCTAGTGCCCACTTGACGACTATGGCTCCTTCAAAGGGGCCCCCTTCCAGAGCTAATTGCCTGCTCACCCGCCTTTTCTTCCCAGGCCCACCTTGATGATGCGGCCGGCCCCCTCTTCCTCCTGCAGCAGCCCCTGGTAGGTGTCCAAGAAATGAAGGAGCATGGCTAGACAGGCCTGCTTCTGGCCCAGTCCCTCGGGGCCCTCCCTGCCTCCTGCCAAAACAAAGCTGACCCTTACGTTAAGGAAAAATCCCGGGCAGGCAGACCTGAGGAAAGTGAGAAGGGAGATGAGAGGCTAAACCACCCCAAATATTCTCTAGCTTTGGGGTCAGGGAAGGAGGAGATCCAGGGGTCCCTGGAACCAAGACCTCCTCACTCCCCAGCCCAGAGTAGATAGGAATGGCACCCACGTGACCACATCCAGCTCCCACCTCTGAATTTCACTTGAGGATACCCTGACTGGACCAACCCAACCTCCACCAGCCCACGCCCGGAGCTCACAGCAGGCTGATAAAGGTCATGGCGCTCACCACAAACCTGACCACACCTGTAAGAAAGGCCCGGTGTTTCTAAGAGAACCTATGATATTCTACTCAGCAGCCTGACATTTGCAATTAGGTCCTAAAATAACTCAGTGAGAGGCCCTATGCTTACGTGAGACCCTCTGAGGAGCCCAGCCAGTGGCTCATCGCTAGTAGACCCTACAGAAGCGCAGCCACGACCCGATGTTCACATCGGACCCTGTAATAACTCACTGGGCAACCAGATGTTTAGAGCAACAATTCAGTGAGGAGAGAGGCACTCTTAATGGAATAATAACACCTTAGGTTTGTACAGGGCTTTGCAATCTCCAAAGCGCTCCCACATCTGTGATCAGATCTATCTCCACAGCAGCCCGGTAGGTAGGCAGAGCAGATGCTATTTACCCTCATTTGATAGAAGAGAAAACTGAGGCCCTGGGAGGTTAGGCGACCTGCTCAAGGTCACACAGCTGGTGGACAGAAAAACTGGGGCTGGAACCCAAGGGTGTTTTGTAAGGGAGAGCTTAGGACGTGACATCACATGTGGGCTGGTGGGAGTGGCTCCCTCCTGACCTCCCCTTTTGCTAGCTCCCCAAAAGGATATTACTGGTGTAGCTCCTGCAGGAATTTCTCCGTGGGGAGGAAGAGAGAATGGGTGAGGACGATGTCATCCAGCAGGATATCTGTATAGAGATCGTTCGGCACCACTGATGTCAGAGGGGCACTTCCAGGATCCAACCGGACACTCCCCACCCCACTCTCTTGCCTCCAAGGGCGAGTTCTCCTTAGCCAGACTGGAGACCTAGCCACCTGCCCCATCATGCTCTACACACACACACTCGCACGCGCGCGCGCACACACACACGTGTGTAAAGGTTCTGGGCAGCCGCTTCAGGGGTGGGGTTGGCAGCTGCCAAGGCAGCTGGAGGGAAGGAGGGGCACCCTTTGATGGCCACGCCCACTTCTCTTCAGTGTGTATGGGAAGCTGGTCAGATAATACACCAAGCTTGAGATCTGTCCCCTGAAAAGAGGTCTCTAGACAGAGACAACTTCCAAACACAGAGGTCAGGGTCAGCAGGGTGTGTGTGTGTGTGTGTGTGTGTCCCTCCTCCCCTCCCCACTCCCTACCTAACAGCTTTGAGTTCCAACTAGGCAGGTGAGAACCAGCCCAATTAAAAGGGAGATGGAGCAACTGCCATTTCTTTGATCCTAAAGCCTTTAAAGAGAAAAACTCTGTGTCCTCTAGATGCTCAGAGATCGTTGGGTTAATGATGGAAGGGTGGAGGGGAGTGGCTCCTCCCACCACTTCTTTCCCCTCCACACCCCCATCTGGGCCTGGCTCAGCCAGTCAGCCAGGTACAAGGTCGCCCTGACTTGCATCCAGCCCTGGGGTGGGGCAGGGCAGCCTGGCACACACAAACAGGCTGGGCGCAGGGAGGGAGCCAGGTGTCCTTACCCGGACAGGTTAGGGCCAGGTCCCCAGGCACTGCCTCAAGACAAAACCAAGGCTTCTGTGGGCCCTTGGCTCACCATCCCTGGCCTCCAATTCTAGCCAGGAAGGTGGAGGAGGAGTACCGACATCAGATCCTCTATTTCCACTCTTTCACTTCACAAATGAGAAGAAACTGAGGCCCGGGGCTGGGAGGGACTTGCAAGGAGCTGGGCTAAGAACCCACACTCCTGAATCTTTGATCTGTTCTCAATATGCCTGAGGCAGACTGCCTGGGTAGAACCAGAGGTCCAATGGGGCTGCTTAGACGTTTGAGAGGCTGGCTAGTTTGGGGTACCGTCTGTAACTCCTCTCCTCCCACACACCCTGGGAGGGAACCAAGATGGCTTAAGCACATTGGGTGTATTGGAGAATATCAGAGCAGCAGGTTAAACTGATTCTCATTCATTCTGGGACTGGTTTGGGGTTGTTTCCCAAACCAGTTACTCTGGGAATTGAGCCTGCCAGGCCAGATAGTACAGGTGACAGTCAATTCAGGTATCCTTCCCCAGGAAAGACTGGGCAGAGGCGGTGGCACCCAGGCACCAGAAAAACAGCTTCTCCCTTTACCTCTCTGTCCAGCTACCCTGCTATGTTCTTAAAATGAGAGTGCTCCCCCAACTCGGATGCCCAGCTCCAGGGATGAGGGACTAGGACTAGAGATGCCTGACGCCCGTCCTATACTCTTTATCCCACAGGGCAGAATGGGGGCGATGCTGCTGTAGGGGCTACAGTTTGGCGTCCGTCCCCTCCAAGGCAGGCTCTGGTCCAATGCACAGCCTCCCCAGGGAATGTGTCATAGAGACACAGGGTGTGTAGCGTAGGCGGGAAGTTATGGTTAGAAGAGCTGTATGTGTTTGATATTTTTCTAATTAAATCCAAAAGGTGTCAGCTCCCCAGGGCAGCTCCAGTCTGAGCCAAAGGAGAGAGGGCCAGGGTCTTGAGAAAAAGCGAAGGGGACTGGAGCCCTCTCCCACACACCAAGGTTAGGGCTCCCTGCAGAGCTCTGAGAGCACAGTGGGGGAACCCCCGTCTTGAAATGCTCAACCAGGGCCCCCAATCCCCAGACCCTGCTGGGCTTAGCAAAAAGCCAAGAGCTAGGCCTAAAGACCCACAGGTCTTTTACTTTGGCGACTGCCCAGTAATTTGGGGCCTCAGTTTCCTCAAAGTCCCCTTAGGAGGGGTGCTGGTGGGGAGTGGTGCAATAGCATCATCATTTAGGGAATAAGCCTCTCAGGGTGTGGTTCTTATTTTTTGAAAGAGGCGGTGTGCTGAGGCCTGCCAGGGGAAGGGTGGGGGTTGGAAAGGCCCAGACCCCCCTAGTCGCCACAGGGCCCTGGTGTCTGCCCAGTCATCTCTCCCCCAACAACATCTCTGAGTCAGCCCCCCAACTGGAACACCTCCCTCCACTCCCAACCGGCTAAGGACAATGCATCCCTTTGCCGGAGCCCCAAACCCAGCTCAGGCCCTGTGCCGGCCTGGCACTGCCCCACTGGTTGGGCCAGCCCTCTGCTCCGGGCTTCTAAACCGAAGGAACCGGGGACTCCTGGAAGGTCTTTCAGGCTTGGGCACCTCGGTGGGGGGAGGGGAGCACGGCTGCTCTGGCAGCTTCCATCTTAGTGTGTCAGGCCCTAATTTTGGGCCCCAGAAGGAGGTGATCAACATCAGAGACCCAAGAGTCTGTGGATAAAATGTCCAGGGGAAAGGCAGGGTGGCTGAAGGGGAGACAGAGGTTCAGCTTCTCCAGCTGCGGGTGAGGCTGCTACCGGGAGCCAGGTGGCCCTGCCACTCTGTTCCTCCGATGAGCCCCTACCCCACTTCGCCGACCACTCAACCCCACAGCCGGGCTCCAGCGGAGCGCCAGCCCGTGCTGCCGGGCGAGGGCGAGGAACCCGGTGGCAGCCCCCTGCTGGGGCGGA